GTACAGAAATGTTTTATTTGTAATGGTGACCATTCAATATTTCGATGCGATAATTTTCTTACAAAATCTCCGAAACAAAGGAGCGAATTCGTAATTCAAAATAAGCGGTGTTTTAATTGTCTCGGGAATCACTATCTTCCTGACTGTCGTGTAGCAACTCGATGCAAAACTTGTTCAAAACGTCATCACACCATTTTGCACGAATTTCCTCCTGAAAAATTAAATAAAAGTTGCAACTCAAATTCTAACAAAAACAACGAATTTGTCGAAAGTAAAGTAAGCGTCCCTGGTACCTCAACGAGTCACCAGGTCAACACATTTCATCTCAGTTCCTCGGTTCTCCTAGCTACAGCTTTGGTGCGGGTAAAATCGGTTCGAGGTGATTCCCTTTTGGTTCGCGCCTTGATCGATCAAGGGTCGGAAGTTTCTTTCGTGAGCGAGGCTCTTGTGCAGCGTCTGTCGTTACCGCGCAAAGCCACATGCGTACCAATAAACGGCGTTGGATCAACACAAACGTGCGTTTCAAACGGTACAACGTCGGTTAATATCATTTCCAAAAGTGACAACAACGTTTCCATCGTCGAAGAGACTCTCATATTACCAAAATTGACTTCCTACATACCGAAACAAGAACCAAAAACCATTCCGGTTGAAGTAAATTCTTTGGATTTAGCCGATCCAGAATTCTATTCGAATCGTCGAATTGATTTGATTCTCGGGGTGAAGTTTTATTCGCGAATTATTTTGAATAATATTCGGAAATTTAACAACGGTTTTTTGGTAGCTCAAGAGACTCTTTTCGGATGGATTCTTTTCGGTCACGTTTCTTTTCCAAGTGCAAATTCGGAACGGTTCGGTTTCCAATGTTCCGTTGATCGGGAGTTGTTAACCGCAATTCAAAAATTTTGGAAAATCGAGGACGACACTAATTCAACTCAAAAACTTGCCTCAGACGATCTTGAGTGCGAGAACCATTTTATAAACACTCATTCGCGAGACGTAAACGGACGTTTTGTAGTGCGGCTTCCGTTTAGACGACCTTCATCGGATCTCGGTTCATCGCGTCACGTCGCGGTTCGTTCTTTCGGTCGTATGGAGCAACGTTTCGCCGTTAACGAAAAACTTTTTCTAGCCTACCGTGATTTTATGCACGAGTATTTGACACTAGGGCACATGAGTTTGGTGTCGTTAAACCCAAACAATACGAATTATTACCTTCCGCATCACGGTGTAGTACGCGAATCAAGTTCCACGACAAAACTCCGCGTAGTTTTCAACGGTTCAGCTGTTACGTCATCGGGCCTTTCCCTTAATGACTGCTTACACGTCGGGCCAAAACTGCAAGCCGAGCTAGTTGACGTTCTCCTCCGATGGAGACGTCATAAAATCGTGTTTTCGTGCGACATTGAAAAGATGTACCGTCAAATAAACGTTCATCCGAATGATCGATCTTTTCAAAGAATTGTTTGGCGCGATAGTTCGGATAAAGTAATAGAAAATTATGAACTTAACACTGTTACTTATGGGTTATCGTGTGCTCCGTTCTTGGCTATCCGGTGCCTGCACCATTTGGCTGATCAGCACTCCACAATTCAACCTTCCGGATCAGTGGCTCTGAAAAAAGACACGTACGTAGATGATATTTTGTCGGGCGCAGAGACCATTGAAGAAGTTAAAACTCTCATTAATCAAACAAACAGTATACTTACGGCGGGCGGTTTCCACGCGCGGAAATGGATTTCGAATCAAGCTTCTACGCTTGAAAATCTACCGCGCGATGACGTTTCCATGAACGATACCATAAAATTTGAAGACGAATCCGAATTTCCACGCGCATTGGGACTTCTGTGGAATAATAAAAAAGACGAGTTTTTATTTAATTTAAGTGTTACTCATACCGATGAAAATCTTACCAAGCGATCTGTTCTTTCATTCATCGCGAAACTTTTCGATCCCCTCGGTCTTCTTTCTCCGTTCATAATAACGGCAAAAATCTTCATGCAAGAATTGTGGGTGCTTGGTCTTGATTGGGACGATGAATTACCGGAAGATCTCGCGAAACGGTGGCAAAATTTTCAAAAAGACCTTCTAAACGTTACTACCATCAGCATTCCTCGATGGTTTGGCATCGATAACAATAAATCCAACATTCAAATCCACGGTTTTTCTGATGCATCAACAAACGCATACGCGGCGGTTGCGTATATTCGGGTTGAAACCTTAGCGGAGGTGCGGGTTGTGTTGATAAGTTCTAAAACAAAAGTGGCTCCGTTAAAAGTTGTTTCGATTCCGCGCTTAGAACTGTGCGCGGCGGTAGTTCTATCTCGGTTGGTACATCGGATTCGATCTACGCTAGAATTCGAAAACTTTTCAACTTATCTGTGGACTGATTCCACTGTCGCTTTGTCATGGATACGCAGCCATCCCAACAGATGGAAAGATTTCGTGCGTAACCGTGTCATAGAGATTCAAGAACTATCACAAGCAAAGTGGTCTTACGTGCCTGGTTCCGATAATCCAGCTGACTTAGCTTCCCGTGGTGTGCCAATAAATAAACTTCAACAGCAATCGATATGGTGGTCCGGTCCATCATGGCTTCAACTTCCCTCATCAGATTGGCCTTCGTTAAAAATTGCTGACTCAGTCGAAGCCGATCGTGAAATTAAAAGGACATCTTCTTCTCATCACATTGCGATTCAAACCTGGAATTTAAAAGAAAAATATTCTACATTAAACAAGCTTATTCGGGTCACTTCATGGTGTTTCCGTTTTATAAATAAATCAAAAAATTCAAATGTTTCAGGCAATTTAACTCCAGAAGAACTCGAAAAATCTTTGTTGTTTTGGGTTAAAGAGGTTCAAAAAACCAGTTTTAGAGAAGAAATTCAAATTCTATTAACCGGAAAATCTATTTCAAAAAGTAGTTCGATCTATCGACTTACCCCTTTCATAGACGGCCATGGACTTCTACGAATTACAGGACGTCTACAATTTTCCGTTTTGAATTGGGACGAGAAACATCCTATGATTCTTCCCAAGGACGATCCCTTCACAAAACTAATCATTGATGCTCATCATCGTCGAGTTCTTCATGGTGGAACTCAGCTTACATTATCTTCCATTCGTCGACGATTTTGGATTGTTGGTGGAAGATCTCCAGTCAGATCCTTCATACATCAATGCATCGTTTGTGCTCGTCAACGTGCAAAAACCAGTCAACAGATGATGGGTCAACTACCTCCGTCACGAGTAACCCCATCGAGACCGTTTCTCCACTCTGGGGTCGACTATGCTGGGCCATTTATTCTGAAAACACACAAAGGACGAGGTCACAAAACATATAAATCTTATTTAATTCTATTTGTATGTCTAGTTTCATCAGCAATACATTTAGAGATTTCCACTGACTACACGACGAATGGATTCATTGCCGCATACAAACGATTCACCGGACGTCGTGGTCTTTGCCAGTGTTTGTATTCGGATTGTGGTACCAACCTTATTGGGGCAGATAGGGAACTACGATCCCTCTTCAGCTCCGCCTCCAAGGAGTGGAATCATTTAATCAACGTCCTCAGCAACGATGGAACCCGTTGGAGATTCAACCCCCCTTCAGCACCCCATTTTGGAGGGAAGTGGGAAGCTGGAGTTCGCTCCGTAAAAACACATCTTCGGAAAATTATGGGTTCCACCGTTCTCACTTACGAGGAATTCACCACTGTCCTCATACAAATAGAAGCCGTCCTAAACTCCCGTCCTCTCTGTCCTGTTTCCAATGACCCTACTAATTTTGAATTTTTATGTCCAGCTCATTTCTTGATTGGGTCGTCGTTATCTGTGGTTCCAGAACCATCTCTATTGGATGAAACCATCTCACGTCTCAACCGTTACCAGTTCCTCCGACGTTTGATAGAAGAATTCTGGAAGCATTGGAAAGTATTTTATCTCCAATCTCTCCAAAACCGAAACAAGTGGCATCAAGAAAAGAACTTACCTAAAGTTGGTAGTCTCGTTCTTATCAAGGACGAACGGCTTCCCCCGTCCAAGTGGACCACTGCACGTGTCTTGGAACTTCACCCTGGGGCTGATAATCGTGTTAGAGTGGCTACAATAAAGACACCGACTACTACTCTAGTTCGACCAATAGTAAAATTATGTTCATTACCTGGCTAAGATAATTTCCGAATTCATTTTTTTTTTTTTNTGTCCCGAATGCTTATAGATTTTTGACTGGAAACATGGTAATAAACCAACAGTAAACAGGAAATTGGTAAAAATGAGCAAAAATAATGCTAATAAGTGTTTACCTGTATAAATTCTTCGAGCATTTCATATATAGATGTTAGAACTTGTGGTAAAATGCACTAATTGTGTTTTTTGGAACCCTAAACAAGTATTAATAATAATAATAATAACAATAGTACTTTATTGACCGCAACAACCAACATAAAAAAGTTAAACAATAATATAAAGAAAAAAAAAATAAATAAATGAAAAATTCATTCTATATGTGAAACTAATTACAATCTGCGGCCAATAGGCGGAGTCCAGATTGGCATCCATCGCGATGGAAGCCATCTGTTCAACTCAACCTAGAGTTGAGAACGACTAATAATTACATATTCAATTGTTTTCCGCAATTAAATTAATCAATTCAAATGATTCCCTATATAACCAATAAATAGATAACAACCCAATGTCAGAGCACTGAGGCAGCATAAGGATTATGTTGACCTATCTGAAGCCGAAACAAGTTGTCTAAACATTTTAACGAATCTCCAGATGCCAGGTATCGCAGCGTTATTGCCAACTTTGTTCTTGCTGAAATAGCTTGTCTCATATTTGTATCTTGTTTTGTAATACGAGGACCTACTCTGGTTAATAAATCATTAAAATGTGTTTCTGACATTCTCAACATATTTTTGAAGTCCTCTGGAAATTTTGTTGTTAGTTCATGTTCGATGAACGTTGATGCGCCTTTTATATTGCGTTTTAAAAAATCCAATCGCGTGTCCACCAACGTCTCTTCTTTCTGGTCTTCTTTGATTTTTCATTATTAATTAATTCCGTAACCATTAAATTAGCAACAAGAGCATAACGAACCGATACATTTTGACTGTAGCTAAACTGTCGTGTGAATGCTTTCACGCTATCGTACCTTAATTCGAGCGTGGTAACCGTCAGACGAGCGTGCAGCCACGCGCGTGAAACCCGACCCATGTGAATGCGGCTTAACGTGACACGATCGACATGACGCGAACACATGGCACGCGTAGCGTTGACATTAGCAAATTGCCACGCAGTTTCTTACGGCTCGCGATCACTAGCAACGCGGTTTTAATTTAATTAATTAATCTTACAATAAACGAGAAGCTAATTAATTAAGCTCTGAATCTGATTCAGACTCGAGTGCTGAAGGGGAAGAAGTATTATTATTCTTTTTTGTGAAAAAAAAAATGTAGTGCCCTCTTAACTTTTACCTATCTAAAAGAAAAACTCATGGGCAATTTAAAATGACTTCCGAGTTTCCGGATGATGTCTTCACCAATTACTTCCGTTTGAACCGAAACCAGTTACCGAAGTACAATTTATTGATGCAGATGGATGTAATGCTCAAAAGCCGATAGGGACTGAAGAAAAACTTGGAGTATTCTTGAGGTAAGTAATATAAAACAATTATTCCCTGTAAGTTTCAAACATTACTTTATTTAACCTCTTAAGCGCTTATGCCGTATATAATCGTCATGACGAATGTCGCTGCGAAGTGGGTATGCCGGATATATTCGCATCTTTGAAATTAATTTACCTGCAAGTCAGGTGTACAAATACGAGATCTCACTAAAGACAATCCATTGCAGATATTTGAAACATTTTTCACTGATGAGCTTATAAATGTTATTGTTATTGAAACTAATCGATACGCCACCCAATTTTTAGATAGAAATAAGGAAAATTTAAAGAAAAGATCAAGATCACACGCGTTTTTAGGACTACTTATTTTAAAAGGCATTTGTGCTAAACCTCAATCTAAAATGTACTTTTCAAACCGCGAGAGCGTTGCAACGCCTTTTTACAAAAGAATAATGTCTGAAAACAGATTTCATCTCTTGCTTAAATTTTTACATTTTGCAAATAATGAACAAATGAATATAAGTAATAATCGAAAATTAGTCAAAATTGCTCCTATTTTAAATTATCTCCGACGTAAATTTATGGAAATTTATAAACCTGAAAGGAATGTAAGTGTGGACGAATCGTTGATCGGATGGAAAGATAGACTAAGCTGGAGACAATTCATTCCTTCCAAGAGAAAACGATTCGGAATGAAATTATTTTCCTTATGTGAAAGTGAATCGGGATATGTATATAATTTCATTATATATACTGGTGGAGATACGTTATATGGTTCTCATTACCCTGATGAACCGATATCTTCCAGGATAGTTTTAGAACTTACACATTCACTTCTGGAAAGTGGCTACTGTTTATTTTTAGATAATTATTACTCTACTATTAGCAAAATGTAATACTGACTGTGTAGGAACTGTCCGATCAAACAGAAGAGGAATCCCAGCAAAAGTTAAAAACACAAAATTAGCAAGAGGTGAACAAATTGCACAGTTTAGAAAGAAACAGATCATATTGAAACGGAAGGACAAAAAAGATATAATAATGGTAGGTAAGCTCCTTCCACGACAATGGCACTCAAGATGTAATTCTGAAAGGAGGACATACTGTAAAAAACCTTTAGCAGTTGTAGGATAGAACAAAGGCATGGGAGGTGTAGACCTGGCGGACAATTATTTACATTTTTATTCCTCTGCCAGAGACTAAAAAAATTTTACATGAAAATATTCCGCCACTTTTTGGACATAACTACCATAAATTGTTACCAAATTCATAGAAAACTTGGTGGTAGAAAACATCCGCTAAATTTTTTGATGGACTTGGGTGAAATGCTTGTCGAAAAATATTCTAAAGAAAAAAATCTTTCAGAAGGCCGATCAAGAGCACCAAGGCCTTCTCGGCTACTAGAGCGACATTTTCCAGATTTCATTCCACCTACAACAAAACGATGCGTCCTTTGTTATGAAAACAAAATTAGAAAGGAATCACGATACTGGTGCCCTGATTGCAAGGTGGGGTTATGGCCTGCTCCTTGTTTCAGAAAGTACCACACCAAGCAATAGACGTAGAATTATATACCTAATTTTCTATATATCTGAAGAATATATTATTTTGTTTTTTTATGAACAAATAAAACCTTATGTTAAACTTTTGTAAAAACTTATATAATATTTATTATTATTATTAAATATAATATTTATTTCAGTTAAAAATGTGTATTATGTTGTTTTAATATTGAAATAAACCTAATAAGAAGAAACTGTAATTATTTTTTTTATGCGGTGGACATGACGATTTTAAAAATTAGATATTGGTTGTGACGAATTTGTTCGTATGCGGCAAAACGAATCGCACACCAGATTGTCCACATACGCTCAACGTAAAAAGCGCTTAAGAGGTTAAAACTAACAACACAAAACATGTTTTAAAAAAGGTCACACTACACAAGGTACTTAACAAATATAGTGTTAATTATAATTGCGAACTCATAATTGCAAAAATAGTTAGACACAAACTCTTGGGTTCAGTAGAGGTCACTGGAAGAACTTTAAGCTCCTGTTCTATCTGAGGTGTATGGTGGATTGGTATTAAAGATGAAGCTTGCGGCGATAACTGGGAGGTGGTTGGATTAGGAGGATGGAAAGTAGTGTTATTTGCACTTGAGTCATAAAAGGATGAGCACGTAGAAGGTGGCTGCCTGGAAAACTTGCGATCTGACCCTATGCTGATAAAGGGGAGAAAATGAAAAAGTTATAGAGGGGATCGTCCGTGTTCGCGTTTTCCTCCAATAGTTTTCTTCTATCTTCCGTTCGTTGTCGTACGCGTTCTTCTCGCTGTTGAATCGATCGACTCATAATATCACAGATGTCGACAGTACCGTGTTTTTCCTTTTTCCGCATAGTATGTGCTGTTAAATTTGGAGTCTGAGGTAATGATACAGTTGCACGCTTCCTTTTTCCATTACCATTATCTCCAATAGAACCTAGGGGTTGCTCAACGACAGTTCTTTCATCATCGATTGAAAGTCTTCCATTGCAATCCTTCTTCCTCGTCCTGACTTTCCACCAAATTTTCACTCCTTTATGGTTCTGATGGAGGATGAGAATCGCAACCACACCTTCACGTGGGCCAGTTGTCATAAACGGTTCAAGGAATGACATCTGTTTTTGAAACTTCCACGGCTTGACGTGCTGCGGAGCAGAACCACTTTTATAACATTTTTGCTGCCGTCGTCGAGCATCTCGAAAGCTGCATCTCAATTTCAGCCAAATATTTTTTGATTCTTCTCCAACAAGTGTTTTATGATTTCTTTACTTATTTATTATATTATTTTTAAGAGAAATAGTTTTCAAATATTTTACTACTTTTCAATTTCTTTCTTTTCAGTACTTAATATCTTTTTTTAAATATTTGGCCAGTGGTGACAGCTATAAAAGTATGGCTTACAACTACAGAACGGGAGATCGAACGGTATCCAATATTGTAAAAGAGGTAGCTGTCGTTATATGGCAACGTATGCAACCAAAATACCTTCCAGAACATACGGCAAACGTATGGGAGTCAGTTGCTACCAGATTTGAACAAAGATGGCAATTTCCGCATTGCGTTGAAGCAGTGGATGGGAAGCATGTCGTAATCAAAAAGCCTGCAAACAGCGGTTCTTCTTACTATAATTATAAACACACTTTTTCTGTGGTTTTATTAGCTACAGTTGATGCGGACTACAAATTTATCACCGTTGATGTTGGAGCTGATGGGAAGATTTAGTGATGCATATTTCAAGCAGTGTGCTAGGCAGAAAAATGATGAAACGCACTTTACTACTTCCGTCGCCGGCACATCTACCTACGATTACTAACTTAGTACCGTACGTTTTTGTAGGAGATGAAGCTTTATCAGAAAATCTAATGAGACCGTAACCAAGAAGATATGTAACTGGTAATTACGCTCATCAAGTTTTCAATGTTCGGCTTTCCCGAGCTCGATAGACAGTGGAATGTGCGTTTGGTGTACTAGCTTCACGGTTTCGTATTTTTAGAAGACCCTTTGAACGTAAAATTGACAAGGTAACTGACCTTGTAAAAGCAGCTTGTGTTTTACACAACTATTTACGATCGTCAGTACAGATCACAAATGATAATGTGGATGACATTGAACGATTTCCAGACAATCAATTACTTCCAGTACGTGGTAGCAATGTTAGAAATACGTCAAAAGCGTTTAGAGTAAGGAAACAATTCACAGAATACTTCAATAATTGGGGAGCTGTCCCATGGCAACATCAAACCGTTATGCTTGGAAATTACTAACATTACACACAGTTTTGCAATTTTATACAGGGTGTTTTAAAACAACGTTTAAATATTTATAGGGGTAGTACTACAGTCGAAAACAAGTCGAAAAGTGTTAATCAACATGGGTGCGAAAATCAACCGTTTTCGAAATACAGGATGTTAAATTTTTTTGGGACTACGTTTTTTCTTTTAAACTATAACTATTACAGATTTAAGACTTGGCAAATCGATACAGTATGAAACTGTCTCTTTTTGAGAATAGTATGATGTTTCCATTGCTTCCGGTTGAACCGGAAGTGAAAATAAATACCACTATTTTTTAGTTAGATAGCTTAATTCTAAACAATATTAATTCGAAAACAAAATTTGTACTCCTTAAGGTTTCCGAGAAAAAAAACATTTTTTAAAGTAAATTATTAGAAAAATTGTATTGAGACAATGTAATACTAATTCTGTATTTGTATTTGTTTATGTACGCCGTGCCAATGGAAATAGTTTGAGAGCACGTCGTTTCTATGCTGAAACATTCCCCAATCGCCAGCTACCTTCACATGTTACGTTTCAGTCACTTTTTACCGTCTTAAAGAAACTGGATCGTTTGAAAAAAGGTCTTATAATACCGGACGGCAGAGATCCCTATGTACACCGGAAATAGAAGAACAAATTTTAAATACAGTTGCTGAAAATCCCGAAACAAGTGTGAGAAGAATTTCGGCTCAAGTGGGTACAAGTGGATATGTTGTTTGGAGAACTCTCCATGAGCAACTTATTTACCCTTACCATATCCAACGTGTCCAAGCCTTCAATCCTCCGGATTACCACGCACGGTTGACATTCTGTCAGTGGTTTTTACGAGAAGCTGCTGAACGTCGAGGATTCTCAGCTAACATACTTTTCACCGATGAAGCTGGTTTTACCAGAAATGGAATATTTAATTTCCACAATAATCATGTGTGGTCTGACGAGAATCCTCGAGCCGTTGTTGAAACCAAACATCAACAGCGTTTTAGTTTAAATATCTGGTTAGGCGTCGTAGGGGATAGGTTGTTGGGACCGATAGTTTTACCACAACCATTAAATGGTCTAACATATTTGGATTTCTTGGAAAATCACTCTACCTCAACTTTTGGAAGACTATAAACCAGAGATTTACCGGCAATCTCTGGTTTATGCAGGATGGAACTCCTGGGAGATGGATAGGACGAAGAGGCCCCATTGCATGGCCTGCACGTTCGCCGGATTTGAACCTGCTAGACTTTTGTTTATGGGGCTACTTAAAAAGCTTAGTGTATGCGACACCTGTAAACGATGTTGAAGACTTGCGGCAACGAATAGAACGGGGTTGCCAGACAATTCGTGAAAACTACGGGCTATTTGAAAGAGTTCGGGCTTCCTTTGAACGTAGAATGAGAAACTGTATTGATGTTGCAGGTCGACATTTTGAACATCTTCAGTAAAAAGCTTCGTTTTGATTAGTGTTAGTATTACGTTGTGTCAATTCAATTTTTCTAATAATTTATTTTAAAAAATGTTTTTTTTAGTTTTAGTTTTTGTATTTTATTGTTGCATGACAAAGATAATTTTATGATATTTAAATTTATTTTTGTATGATGTCTTGTTACTTGAAACCTACATACACATGACCTGTGAAAATACAACTGTATGATATCACTAAATAAAATTATTATTATTACCAATTACGTCATATGGGATCGTCATATGGTATCGCGCCGCGCTTTACGGCTTTACCTTGCGCGGCCGACCTAGTGGACGGAGATACATTTATTTCCAATAATTCTTACAAAAACCGCGCCCCGCCGCGCCGCTCTTTCCGCGCTAGTGGACGGCCAGCTTAATGCATGCACATCGGGATGCGTTATTATTAAATTTCATTGAAAACTACAGAGAGCTACCCGAGTTATGGAATGTTCCTTCGAAAGCATACTCAAATAAGGATAAAAGTAATGAAGCATACGACCAGCTTCTGAGTATTTATAAACGAATTAAAACAAATGCAACTAGGGATAATGTTAAGAAGAAAATTATTTCTCTGAGAACTAACTACAGGAAAGAATTAAAAAAAGTGAAAGCTTCTAAAGGATTGATTCCCAAAGTGGTCCAGGTGGACCCCCAGGGGACCACGGGAGAGTCGACGGGGGTCTACGTTGGCGTGACAAAAAAATGGGGGTTCACAATAGACTGCCTAAGTCTGACGTCACAGAGATGGGCGGAGCTTATACAGACTCCAAACAATTTCGTTGCTAACGATAAAACGCCAAAAAATGTCATTTGAAATGTCATCACTTAGTTTATTTTATTTTAACACTAATGAAAAATTGCATATGGTGATTTACCGTTAGCAACACAGTTAGCAACGAAAATGTTTGGAGTCGGTATAAGCTTCACCTATCTCTATGACGTCAAGGCTTAGGTTGTCTATTCGTAAGCGGGGGTCCACGAAAATTTATCTGGTTTCGATAATGAAGAACTAAAATGTTGGCTTGACTAATGTTGACCTATCAATGTAGGCAGATTATACTTATATTATATTACTTGCTAGTAATATTCAATTTTTATTAACACACAAATTATCGCCGGACCATATAGAAACTTTATTTAGTATAATTCGTGCTCGTGGAGGATGTATGTAACAACAATACTACAGTAAAACAATTTAAAAATGCCTACAGAAGAGTACTCGTTCATCATGAGCTGTCTGGATCTGAATATGGCAACTGTTCTATATTAAATAGTTTACACATATTACATGTCAATCCAATAGACAACATTTCGAACACTGTTAGTGATGTAGTACCAATAGCCAATATTGTTGTGTTACCGCGAATTGTGCATCGATTTAATTGTGCGTGAGAATTCTTGACACTTACTATACCGCTCGATGGACCACCCTAAAAGACTCTTAAGTAGGTTTGGTTGTTAAGAAATACCAATTTTAAAAGGTTTTAGGAATAGATTCGATAGTTAAGGAAATAAGAGTAGCAATAATGTTTCAAAGTTACGAGGTTCATAAAAAGGGACAATTCCCCGTGAATACTTTTTAGAGCGTTCCTATGTTCGGGCCATCTAATGGTCGCTTAAGATTTTGATAAGTAAAAGACGCGCGCCCTTCAGGCGCCAGACGCCGTTATCTCCGCTCGAGGGATGAATTCCAGGGTTCCGAAACCCTATTTAACCTCTCTGACTTTATTCAAAAGTCAGTCGTCAGAATAAATTCTAAATCATCGTTACTCTGCTCGTATTCCTACTAAATCAACGAATAAGAAACAAAGGCAAGAAAATAAGCGAGAATCTCTAATAATTAATTGTAAGATTCTGTAGAGTTAGTAAAATAAAAAGAATTAGTCAAGACTTTGAGTTTTACTTCGAAAACCTACGAGGAATCCAACATAAATTTGGCGACGAGGATGGGATGGTGTTGACGCTCAACTGAAGTCGTTTGGATCATCTGAAGAAACTATTCAGCCCGACCGGTGAGCGACAATTTTTATTGTCTACGTCGACTCCATCTGTAAAAAGAAACCACACGATCGATCACTCTACCGAATTGGTTTGTTGGCCACAACTGTAATTCAACTCCTGATTCTACGAGTAGCAGAAAACATCGATCCAAGGTAAGATTTTCTTGCATTTTCTCTGTCTTGCTTTTCCTCTACTATTTCCTACCTTTTTCTCTCTAATCTTATTATCATCAAAATGCCCCAAAACGACACACCCAATCAGTCAAACGCTTCTTCTCTCTCATTTAACTCTGCTAATAGTCACAACAACCTCGAACTCTCATTTTTAATACGGCTGATTCGCGACAACTTCGACGGAGATCGGTTTAAGCTCAGAAGTTTTATTAAACAAGTGGACTCTGTATTCGAACTTGCCACAATCACAAAAAGGTCCATTATTTTTGTTTGTAAAAAGTAAGATCACAGATCGTGCCCGCGAACAGGTAGATGTTCACTGCGAACTGACTAGATCAATTGCTTGAAGAGCTCACCAGCATAAAACAAGAACCTTCCGAAAACGTTTCCAATTTTTACCAGAAACTTGAGGATCTTTCCTCTCGAATCCTAGCGTCAATCCACGGTTCGGAAGCAGACTCAAATAAACTTAAAGGTCGTCTCCTAATGATCAAAGACATGACTCTGAATCGATTTGTTTACCACACGCACCCCAATATCTCACAGATGCTTCGTTACCGCGAATTCGATAGCATCAGTAGTGCCCTACCAGCAGCAATCGCTGAAGAAAAGGCTCTTCGCCTCTCGTACAGAGTAACCTCGCAGAAATGCAAAATCTGCGGACGATCGAACCACCAGACTTCAGATTGTTTCCGTAATAAACCGCGACCGGTTGTTAATAAACAAATCCACTTCGCGCAATCCAAAACCGAGCCGCCGCGACAACCCGCAAGTTCCAACTCGCATCAAAAAGATGTCAAGCCGATACTGTAAAAATTTG